CAATACACAAACATGTTACTTTCTCTACTTACCTCCTCTGCATCCTTTAGTTCTACTGATACCTAGCAAATTCAGCTGAGAACATTGTCCTAGTACAACCATCTCTCAAGAGCCAATCTTGGTCTGCCAGCCTTGTAAAACCTTATGTATCTTCAGGGCATGATCCCCAATCTCAACAAGATGGCATGAAAATGTTACCCAAGTATATGTTCCTTTTACTTTGGAGCTTTAACCTTGCTGGCTTCTCCCCCTTTTGGTACTCTACAATTGGCACAACACCTTTACCAGACAGCTTCTCATTTCCTAGTTCAGCCTTAGAAAATGAAATGATGGGTAACTATAGCTACAGTAATTCATTTGTTTGCAGTGTGCAGACCTACCTGGAGGAAAAGACAAAGGAAATTGCAGTGGCAGACAACACCTGTCAACTGTTAAGGTGTTTTATTCCATATGATAGCCTTTTGTGACAACACTTTCAAAATTCAACTTGTCTTGGCCCCAAATGGCTATCTTCTCTTGCTCTTTCCCTAGCTCTTCCTGTTTTGAATACACGCCTACTTCTGAACCCCATGATCCTTGATATTGGCTACTAATTGGGCCACATACTGCTTCTGGTCTACTTGAATTAACAGTTTGACTCACCTGCATCCATTACAATTCTAAGAAGGTTTTTTTTTGCCATGCATTTTTGTTTGTTTAACTGAGATTTTAGTATTCAATTGTAGGACAGTGACCATTGAAAATGAGGAAATATATGAAATGGAACTTTAAAAATAACTTAATGTTCAATACTGAAACAAAACAACAAATGTGACTATATAAAATGAGTAAGGTTGCTAATTTAAAAATTTGCTTGTTAAAATATTATGATGTGTGTAATTATGTGAATTTGGGGGTAAATTCCTTGATTCGATTATGTGTTAATGAAAAGAAAGTCAGACTTTAAAACTTTACAATCCAAGCTTTTAAATAAAATTATATTTTGAAGGATGAAAGACTATTATATGATAATTTTAAATGTAAAATTATGTATTTTGAATTAATGTGATTTTTGTAGTAGTACAATATTTTAAATAGAATAAATTATGAGGAATGTATGCATTGTAAGGAATTAACAAATAATATGGTTGTTTCTCTGACTGCATTTTCTAGATGGAGTTGAAGCATCAGAAAATTTCTGATTGGTAAATGCATTTCCCAGATTTTGTAGAATCCCTTATACTTCTAGTTTAAGCAAATAATATATCATTTCATAATAATACAACAACAACAAAATGAACTAGATGAGATGAATTAATGGAAAAAAGAAATGAGACAGCATAGAGGGAAAATGCCGCAGTACTGATCTTTAAATCAAAACTAATTATACATTTTATTATCTGTGTCTCAGTGTACTGTTGATCACAATTAGTGTACACACTTTTTCTGTTAATGTGCATTACACACATCAATAAAATGAAAGAAAACAGATGAAATGAAATAATTTTACACAAACACGATAATCATATTATTATTATTATTATTATTAATGATCCCTGAACAACCCAAATGTTATTCTCCCCCCTCCCAGTCCATAACAGACAAATCAAATGAAATTAAACAGAGAACAAAAAGCCTTCAAAAGTGATAAACAATTTAAAGGAAAAAAAAAATAAAAGAAAAACTCAGAATTCAAGCATTCCACAGATTGTTCAAAATGATTGAAAGCCTAGTCTAACTTCCATCCTTTTAACCATGTGATGTGAGAACAATTTTATTTTTTTAATTTTATAGCTAGATTAAGAGACACTACTAAGGATTTGAGATAGCCACAGGTAATGTGTACATTCACTGGTGATGTAGACTAGGCCTTTTAAAGCTTTCTGTGTGCATATGGTCATGCACAAATAAAACTGCATCTGAATAGGTAGCCTCTGCACTGAAATGAATGGGAAAAAGGTTGCCATTGTATTGAATAGAATCCCTAAACACCCGAGGCATCCGATCCATTACTCTGGCAAAATTACCATTAATTTCAATGAGTCTGGGCTGCAGATAGAAATCTAGTATGAAATTTCACGTGCATAAAAAATTCCATCCCCTATTTTGCTTTATTCACTCAGTCATTATAATACAATTAGTTTCCCTACAGCATCAAATATGTCTCATGTTTTTGCAGTTTTATAGAGTGATCTACAGACATTGGTATTCTGGCCTTTCCATTTAATTAATGCGCTGAGCTGGTCATTTCCAACTCTGTGATTGTATGATTTAAGGATTGTAGGATTTTATGGATGCTTACCATAACATACTGGATGTGTATGTTACTGTCCATGAGAAAATGGATCATGTGATAGAAGAATTGTCATTATCAGTCACGCACCCCCATGAATAAAGGAGCAATTATAAACTCCAAAAGAATATCATTCTATATTTGGGAGAAATACTTGGAAATATATCTACATATTTTTTCAACTCGACATCCAGCAGCACTGCTAAAGTAACAATGAGAAATATATTTTACATATATATCTTTTCATTTTCCAATTGGAGGTGGATAAACCTGAGACTCTTCAAATATTATTGAATATTGCTCCCATGATTCTGAACTACTGGCCATACTGGTGGGAACTGGAGTCCAATAATACCCAAAGGGCCATAGATTCTCCACTGATACTCTAGAGAACAGCTCCTTAATCACTGTAAGCATGGCTATATTTTTATTGTATGGAAACATCAATGGCTTTGGTCTTCCCCTAATTACTTGTCAGTTTTCTTTTTCAGAAACAGGCCCTTTGTGTGGTTATCACTGCAATAACAGTGTTTATATGACAATTGTTAAGGTATAAACCCTGTACTGCACATGGCTACCCATGCTGCTTCCATGTGACCAGGGAAGCAGCAAAGTCATGTACATTTTTACTTCTCTGGCACCCATAAATAGAATCTATTTTTAGTTAACAATGAAAAATGAATTATTTCAAAAAGTTTCATTCTCCCGAATCCCCTTTTAAATTTGCCTGCTTTAGATATTTCAGGTGTAGTGGTGAGGGAGTTCTGAAGAATGAAAAAAAAATAGAAAGACAGCGCATGAAGAAATCAATAGACAAACCAGCCACAAAATAAATATCACTGGACTGTTCAGTTGCACTGTCCCTGAATGATAGATTCCAAGCAAAGCTCCTTTTTGGTACATTAATCTATTCTGAACATTGATACGTACATTGTTGACATGTACTCATCATTGTCTACAGCAATACTGATATTTTTAATTCATGGAGATAAATGCCAATTCACTGCCAGACAATCCAGATAGTGCCACATTTCTTGCTAGGACTCATTGTTGTTCTGAAGGCCAATGGGTGGTAGAATTTTTTAACTCCAGCATGGAAGAATAAATTTGAATTACAGTATTCTGATGGTGGGTTGCCCTTTACAAAGGTTCAGAGATTTCCACAGAGCAAGAGAAGGAACAGAGAGAATAAACAATGCAAGAGACCAAAGAATTGGCATCTGGAGCATATGCAGCATAAATACTCTGGGTAAAATGGGTGATTGAAAAAAAGCTCAAGGATGTTCTGGTGATTTAGGGTTCAACACAGCTGTTCATACTTAAAATGAACAATGCTAAGTCCAATTAATTCCAACAGTCTAGTAATAAACAGGCTAAATTCATCCACAAAACTCAGTGGTAAAGCACATGCTAGCGTGTCAACTATCCAACAGTTCAATTCATGGAATCACCAGTTAAAATAGTTACAGGGCTGGATAAGCTTCTCCCTGAGACCTCAGAGAATCACTCTAAGTGAGAGTCCTGGGCTAGATAGGTCACTGGCTTGACTCAGTATAAACAATGTTCTGAGTCCTGTACTTGACTGGTAAACATAGAAAGATCCCTTTCTATGTGATAAAACGTGCACAGATTCTTCCCTTTAAAACCTAAGACTTTCTCCAGCTCTTAGTTATTGCTTCTTAGGAACCTTATATAGAGCAACAGAATGAATACCAGCCATTTCTGGACTCTCACTCTGTTCATTGAAAAGAAATGGAAAGAAACACGCTTGCATTTTCAATGGTCAGTCAGCTTCACTATCACTATTCAATGCTATATTACAGATTATGGTTTGCTTCATTCATGCAAAGTGTTACAACAAGTACAATGAAAGCATTCCCAATTTGAAGTATGAGAAGGAGCATAGCAGCATCTATTGGTAGATGGAAAGGGAATAGGAGGGAACTGAAATTTATCTGACACAATATGTCAGAAATACAGGGAAAAATGCTAGGGCTTTGGGCATGAGTCTATAATCCACAGTCTGGAGCAAATGGAGAATTGATTAAATATGGTTTAAGTGGCTATTTTTCTTTTAAGAGTGTGCTGGTCATAAATAGAGCTCTGAAATAATGGGAAAGGGTTATCGGTGGTTTAATAACATCTGAACAACCAGGCAGTTAAGGAGGGATCAAAGCAAAAATAAAAACAAACAAAACAAAACCTCAAACAAAATTATCCTCCCCACAAACAGCATAGGGTTGGAACCCCCTTGGATTGTGTTGGTCACTCTAGACTCACACGTGTCACTGAGGGTGGTGATTCAGCTTGTTCTTGAGTTAATGAAGAAGGCAACAAAGATATTGGTCAGAAAGTCAAGAACTCCCACTTAAGTCCTTCGCCCAATATGATATAACTTAAAGTTGGCTGTTTGTCTTTCCAAACAACCCCCTTTGACATCCAACTGCTCCTTAGAGAGGGAGGGAAAGGGGAAATACAAAGTAACTCCATCATGACCTTGTAGGCTGAGTTGCAAAGATAGCCCTGCATCCATGTCTCCATTGCAATGCTGCTGCTCCTGGTGAAGACTCCTGCAGATTTCAAACTCCTACCACAAAGCTACATTCCATCAATAGGTAAGTGAACATGGCAAATGTTTTTTCTTCTCTGTTCAATAATATTAGATCTATATCTATATATCTCTCTTTCTATATATAGATACATATAGATACTATCTTCAATAGTTTCTTTAGAAGCCCTTTATGTGGCAGTAGGCTTCCAAAGATGAGAAAAATATGTACAAGAGCCAGAGCAGCACAAAGAGGGATGAGGTCAGAATCTTGGCAGTCCGTGGCCCACCTAGCTCACCTCCAATCTCTGGTCTTCGCCGGTAGAGGAGCACACCAACACTGATAAAAGCAAATATAGTGAAGAGGGTGACAGAGAAAGCCAGGGTGCCTGGGTTGACTGCAAATGACTCCCCATTGGCTGCATGGTAGATTGCAGCAATGGACCAGGCTACGCCGATTCCCAGGAAAACATTCACAGCATTGCTACCAGTCACGTTACCTATGGAAGCATCTGCATATTGATCTTGTGTTGCTGCTACTTTGCTGGCAAATGTATCTGCAAAGTGAAAAGAAACACTATTATTTAACCTTATGCTGTTGTCCCAACTTCCAAGCTCGGTGTTAGGTAAATGGTTTTCTAGCAATAGCTGGCTGGTATATTGACAAATAATCTAGACAAAAGCAAGATCTGGATAGACTTTGAAGTTGCGCAGTCTAGAACTGATGTTCTTCCAATCTTAACCCAGTGGCTTTTTTTCCTGAGCTTCTGGCCCTAGTAGAATTAGACACTGTTTTAAATCAACTTGTTAAAAAGAGCTACTAGGAAATTGCAATCTTTAGGTCTCTTTTTGCAAAGCCTCTTCCCATTAGGTTATGCCAATATGCCAGATTTTAAGCAAATTATATTTTAAAGTTAATCTAAGATTAGTATCTAATCCTGTAGTCCTTGGATTTTCCCTCACAAATGGGTATGTGCTATCATCCAATCCTTCCTCCTTTTTGGTTCTGAAAATTTATCCAGATCTTCACCTTGGGTGGGTTGGATGCTGTCCCTCCTGCAGTTGTTTGGGGTATTTTAAAAATATCCCTCTACATCAGGACATATGCCAAATGGGGATGGCTCTGTAGAATCCCCAAGCCATGTGCTCCTCTTTTGCTTTCTACAGGGAATCTCAGATCCTATTCTGAAGAAAAAGCTGGCAGAGAATATGAAGCTTATTTGTGCCTTCTTCTGTTTGACCAGGACTTTGATGTATCCTATTGCTCAATCAAGTGTCTCTTTTTGTTCTCAGTCATCTCACTCAACCACAGAATAGCATTAATCTTAGTGATCATCGCTATTGTGCTATTTTATTCTACTTTTGTTTAGTTTTTTATATCTATAATTTCTAGATATATGTGTTTCAATGTTTAAAGTACACTGTGTAGTAATAAATATCAACTGAAGCCACCTAAGACCAGTGGTTCAGACATTAAAGGAATGTCTGTAGCAATGGCTATAGTAGCAATAATTAAATAATTAAAAAGGGATCACAGCATATTCTGCATTTCAAACAATTTTTGCACTTGCAATCATTGGAGAAGAACAGATCCATGGGAAAAGTAGAAGTTGAATCTACAACTTCAGCTTGTATTTTTCTCCTGCCCAGGTTCTTCCTTAGAAGCTATGTAGCATTATACCTGGATCCCCTCTGTCTGATGGTACAATCAATCTGCTTTGCAAATTTCTCTTTTCTCTCTCCTCATCTTTCCTTCTCTGGATCGAAAAATCTTTTTCCCAGTATGAACTATTAAACTGTCCACTAACAAATGTAGTTTTTCTTACAATTATTTTTTGAAATATAAATTGGGATTATGGTTCCTAGCTCTGGCTCATGGTTAACATTAATTATATTAATGATAATGTGATATCATCACACAATAATATTAAAACAATATTGGATACTGTTTACTTGTAATATTAATACAAACACTGTAAAAGAAGTTTAAGGGACTGAGAATTTAGTTTGGATTCACACTTATACATTGTACTTAATAGGTTTTCTGATTTGATGTTTGATAATGCAGAGCCCCAAGGGTAGCCATGATTGGCAGGATCATACTTCACTAAGCCAAAGCACATTATGCCTTAGCAGAAATGTGAATCAGCTCAGAATGTGGCCTGTGAAAAGCAAAGATCTACTGTAGTGAGTTCGTGATAATGGTAACTTCTGAATCAGGTCTGAGGGCAGATAGTTTGAACAGCTTCACTATACAGATAGTCCTCGACGTACAACAGTTCATTTAGTGACCGTTCAAAGTTACAACAGCATCAAAAAAGTGACTTATGACCGTTTTTCAAACTTATGACTGTTGCAGCATACCCGTGGCCATGTGATCAAAATTCAGACGCTTGGCAACTGATTCATATTTGTGATGGTTGCAGTGTCCTGGGGTCATGTGATCACCTTTTATGACCTTTGGATAAGCAAAGTCAATGGGGAAGCCAGAATCACTTAACAACCGTATTACTAAGTTAACAAATGCAGTGATTCACTTTACAAATGTGTCAAGAAAAGGTGTAAAATGGGGCAAAACTCACTTAACAAATGTGTTACTTAGCAACAGAAATTTTGGGTTCAATTGTGGTCATACGTCCAGAACTACACATATCAACCTAAATGTAACCTCAAGTAAATAAAAGAGATAGGCATTCCTTTGAAAAAATCAACTTGGCTCCCATTCTCCAAAATCAGATTAGAAGGAAATCCAAGTTGCATATTATTATTATTATTATTATTATTATTATTATTATTATTATTATTATTATTATTATTATTATTATTATTATTATTATTATTATTATTATTATTATCATCATCATTATTATTATTATTATTATTATTATTATTATTATCATCATCATCATCATCATCATCATCATCATCATCATCATCATCATTATTATTATTATTATTATTTGGAGGTCATTTAGTCCAACCCCCTGCTCAGGCAGGAAACCCTATACCATTTCAGACAAATGGCTGTCCAGTCTCTTCTTAAAAACTTCCAGTGTTTGAGCATTCACCGCTTCTGGAGGCAGGTTGTTCCACTGGTTAATTGTTCTAACTGTCAGGAAGTTTCTCCTTAGTTCTAGGTTGCTTCTCTCCTTGATTAGTTTCCATCCATTGCTTGTTGTCCTGCCTTCAGGTGCTTTGGAGAATAGCTTGACTCCTTTTCTTTGTGGAAGCTCCTGAGATATTGGAACACTGCTATCATGTCACCCTTCGTCCTTCTCTTCATTAAACTAGACATACCCAATTCCAGCAACCGTTCCTTATATGTTTTAGCCTCTAGTCCCCTGATCATCTTTGTTGCTCTTCTCTGTACTCTTTCTAGAGTCTCAACATCTTTTTTACATTGTGGTGATCAAAACTGGATGCAGTATTCCAAGTGTGGCCTTGTCTTTCTTTCTGTATTTCAAAGCATTGTTGGATATCTACCTCTTTCACCCATTGCCCCCTTTCCACCTGCATTATTTAATTTTCCTGAAGCAGATGCTAATATCATGGTGCTCCAATCACAAACATTTCACTATTAAAAGAGAATTTACTGTTATTTAAAATCCATCCCAAATATGCCACTAGATGTATTTCGTAAAAAAGAAGAAGATAAAAGATTCCAAGCTGCTTTAACTGAATGTTTTCAGGACAGCAGCCTTAGGTCACCTTGGATAAAAAGAGAGAAAGGATAGCTCAGCCTACAAAAATACTTCTTTAAAATGTCATTCTTGGCAGGAGTTTAGAAACAGCTTTTTTCTATGGAATCTTGGATGCAAAATTGTGACGTCTCATCTGGTAGCTAGTTCTTCATCCCCATACAAAGGCAAGGCCAAATAGGTAGGGCAAGGATGTTAATTTATATTAAAATTCAAAAGCTGCTTTCACTCATGAAAATAGCACTATGGACATTTCTATAATTGCTGTTAAAAAGAAGGCAATTTTTCCAGAGTACTGCCTCTGCTGCTCCACAGCAACTTAATAATTAGACTCCAGAACTGATGTCAAAATAAGAAAGTTCATACTAGGTCCTTCTGCAACAGCCAGCAGAGTTCTTGGCAAGCTGTGGGTGGCAAAGGTTGCTTGCAAAACACTCTTCATTCACAGGATAGTTTTTATGAAATTCGTTGGTTTGCTTGTTTATTAATAAGTTTAATTTACATAGCAGAGGGTCTCAAATTCTGGACTCTGGGTGGCTTACAATACTAAAAAGCATTATAAAAATATCAGAAACAGAAAGGCAACATACATAAAACATGAGATGGGGTAAAAAGACCCAGACTCATCAATATAGTAACAAATCAGAACAACCAATATACAGTATTTCCTATTGTCCAGATAGGCTGCCAGATGATTGTCTGACTAACTGGAAACTACCTTACTTAGACCTTCCATAATAACAAAAATTTGGATGATCAATAAAGCAGTAAAGAAATACAGAACACTCTAATACTTTATTGGTTCTCTGAGGTTTTGCCACCCAAATAGGGCAGGTTTGCCCTTATTTAAAAATCTCCCTCTTTTATTTCATTTTGATTGAAATTCAGCAGTATTTGTTGGAAGGGTTCTGCTTGCTATATCTAAGATCTGGCTGCTGTGTAGGATCCTGGGCCTCGGGTCATGCATCCCTAGTTTAGCAACTCCACAGGAAGCTTAGGCCAATGACAAAGGACACGTCTTCTCTTCATCTAACTGCATGATGCTTTGCAGAGTTAGATGGGCGACATAATAAATAAATAAATAAATAAATAAATAAATAAATAAATAAATAGACAACTTTCCCTTCAAACTATCTTTTATCTTCAAATTAAGACTTCACTATTGTTGATGCTGTTTTTTCTAATTAAGTATGGAATGCTCTTCTTTTCCCAGGCACTATTATTTTAGAATATATCTATCAAACTATATCCTTGTTAATGTTAATAAACATTCTCTAAACATAATTTAAGTATCACCACATTATTCAGTGAGGCCAACGGGACTGAATTATGTGCATGAACTATACTACTTTTCAGTAAGGAATCCCATTTCTTTAAAAGGAAACCTAGTAGCACCTAAGTTGCAAATAAATGTCTCATTTGGATAATTTAATTACCTCATCTAGCAATGATTTCATTCAAATACTCCTACCCCTAGCATTCATACCAGTGACAAGATGATTGTAATTTATGTTGAAACTGCAACCCTATTATACATCTATTCTGTCTTTGCTTAAAACTGAATGTGACTCACACAATATAATTCTGTAACTATTACTCAGAAGTAAATTCATGATGTTGGGAATTAGGCAATGAGATTGATAAGAAGCTGTCTTGTGCAAAAGATGGGTGCCCAATTCAAACAGTTTAATGCCGAGTTAAGTCAATTGGCTGTTCCTTAGTAGCTCACTACTAAACTTTCGGATATTGATTTTTGTTTTGTGCCTCTAGCTTGTTTTGTTTTTTTAACTTGCTCTTCATTCTCAACTTTTCTCTCTTCTGATCTATGAGCTTGGGTTTGGGTCCTCCATTGAAAAATT